GTCGCGTTTTTTCATCTGAAACGTGCTGCGATTTATATTCCAAAGCCACTCATATAACGCAGAAACACTCAAGCAAGCAAAACACGCGCGACGCGTGCATGTATTTGTACTGGTGCAGAATAGTACAGCTTTCACACAAGCTGCTAGATTCACTTTCGCCAGAAAGTCGTGTATGCCTAAGGTTGAAAATAAATTGTTTATAGTGAATGCCCTTATGAATGGTCTTATTTTTACGATTTAGTTTTAATCCAAATGATGTGTGCGCTAAGTGAGTGAACATCAAAGATCACACAACAGAATTGTGCTCTCTCTCTCTACTGTTAAGTAACTTGTGCATTGTTTTACTTACTTGTTTTTGACATATCCGACCGAACTACAAACTTTCCAGTGATGTCTGTGAGAAAGATATATTCACTCGACAAGCTTGCGCATCTGCGCCGCTGCGCGCTCAATCACATGCTATGTGGTATCGGCGTTTGGTATCGGGGCATTTTAACGAGTACGAGTACAGGAGCTCAGTATTGGGCCCGATACCGATACCAGTATCGGTGCATCCCTAATAAAAATTAATAATATAAAACTAATAAAAATGTCAAAAACAAACAATGAAATTACTAAAACTTGAACTAAAATTAAAATGGAAAAATAAAAACTCATTTAAAATATTAATGAAAACTAATCATATAAAACCAATAAACAACAAAATTACTAAAACTTTATCTAAATGTAAGGTGGAAAACGTATGAATAAAAACTGATTTAAAATATTAATAAAAACTAGAATACATATCCAAATTATATTAAAACAACACTGCTACTAAAATAGCTAAAACTGTAAAAAATAAATAAAAGCTAAATAGATAAAAAAAAAATAAAACTACTAAAGAGGAAAATACACAAAAAAAGCTAATTCTAAATATTAATAAATGAAGAGTTCATTTGCAAAAACCGATAAACGCCACTTTAAAAAAAAAAAAAGAGCTGATTGCCGTGCATTATTCTCTGCATATTGCACGATCTGAACCCTAAACACGTTTTGCCAAAAAAGCCGGTTTTGTCCACTTTCAAGGCATCGTGAGTTCACGTTTCACTGCAGAAGCCGACAAGCGCCTTGTTGTTTTTGAGCAGAAGCCGATGAGTGCATTTCAGCGAATCAGCGCGCTGTATTCAGGTCAGGTGACAAGGCTACGTTCACTGTGAAAAGACACGCTAGCTGAGACGAGTTTCGTCAAAGCTGACTAAAAGTGATCGAGGATCATCTCGACGAACTTGATGAACCTGTGATATCTTCTTCAGGCTGAAAAAGGAAAATAAAAGCTGAAAGGTTTTCACGGACGCTTGCAAAAGCAGCGCCTTACAATGTTGAGGGAAAAGCTCTGTGTGTTGCGTGTAATCACATCCATACAGTTTATGATCACAACAACAACAACAACAACAACAACGTTTGTCAGGCGTCTACACTGTCATCTGAGGAGATTATAAAGATTAGTGTTTTTTAAACTCTAAAAGATGGAATGTAGAGTTATCTGCTTTTGCTATAAACAAACTTTTAATATGTAAAAAAACATACTTTCAATGAACTTTAATTTTGTAAATGACCTGTATTTGTTTAAGTTATTATTACTTAATCAAAATAACCCACCTGCAGTTAAACTGATATTACTTGGAATGCGCAATAAAAAAAAAACGTGATCGGAGTTATCGGTTTTTGCAAATGAACTCTTCAAATACTATAATAGGATGCTTCTAAAGCATTCAGTACCTTTGCTGGTCTGGCTGCTCTTCTCGTTGTCCTTGAAGAGGATAGCAGGAACAAACGCCTTCAGATCCACCATGTTCTCGTAGAAGTTACGCGCGTCCTCATCCTCCCAGATCCCTCCGTCCAGATCGTACTCTCCCGGTTTCCCCGGCGTAAAGATATCGATGCCCGGACCGTGTTCTGCCACACAAATAACAACAAATCACGCGCATGCCGAGACGAGATCTCACACAGATGAAGCCGTGCCAGCGGTCGCACCTTCCTGGATGGATTTGTCCAGAGGAAGTTCAGGCATGTTCTCGTCCAGCAGATCGGCCAGCGTTTGCGTGTTCGCCAGCAGCTTCTGATAGGAGGTGGCGAACTCCTCGTACTGCTTATGTCTGTCCTCGCTGAGCTCTCCTTTAGAGTGCAGGATACGCCTGCACAGAGACACAAAACTTTATTATTATCACCATTCAAACGCAGAAGCACGTCTCAGAGCAACACACAGCACTGTTTCTGAATCTGCATTTTTGAACGGGTTGAGTGAGTAATTCAATGACTTCCTGAAGGGATCAGCTGTACTGAAAGAAAGACTGAGTTAATGATTCAGTGACTCTCATTAAAGGGATAGTTCACCCAAAACCGAAAATTCTGTCATTAATTACTCACCCTTTTCTACCCCTTTAACATCTTTAACACCACCTCCTGGAGGTTTTAGTTTCATATTTAAAGTAACATTACACTGCAATATTTAAAATGTTATTTTTAAAATAGTAACATTATGTATGCAACTGTAATTTAAGTAAATGCAGTTACGCCAATTCTGAGCTTCATTTATTATTTAATTTATTTTATTATAGTTTTTATTAGTATTTTGAAATAGATTTATTTTCATATTTTCTGTTTTCATTTCCATTTTAAAGGTTTAGTCATTATGTTTGGTGTTTTAAAAATGTTTATGTTTTATTTTATTATAGTTTTATTACTATTTTGAATGAGTTTTTATTTTTCATATTTTTTTTTTGTTTTCATTTCCATTTTAAAGTTTTCGTCATTTTTATTAGTTTAATTTTATTACAGGTTTTATTCATATTTTGAGGTAGTTTATATTTTTATTTTCATTTCACCTACAGTTTTAGTATTTTTGTTGGGTGTTTTTGTAGTTTTATTATAGTTTTTATTTATATTTGGAAATTTCATATTTTCTGTTTTCATTTTAAAGTTTTAAGTCATTTTTATTAGTTTAATTTTATTATAGTTTTTATTAATATTTTGAAGCAGTTTTTAATTTCTATTTTCATTATAGTAAAAGTTTTACTAATTTTCTAGGGTGTTTTTGTCATTTTTATATAACATGTCTACATTTTTATTTTTTATTTCAATTTTAGTTATTTTCGTATATAAACAAAAAAAATTGAAATGTTGCCTTGGCAACTAGCTGAAATAAGTTATTTATTTATTTATTACTTTTTTTATATTTGACAGTCAGATTGTGTCATATTATTCTAAATGAATTAATTGATTAAATGCATGAATTAGACATAATAAATGATGCATACATGCTTAGAGACTCACATTAAACTCTATGAAAGATGCAGAACAAAAACCTCCAGAAATTTTGATCTCTAGAAAGTAATTTCAGTATATCAGAATTGAAATTTTGTGGCATCAATAATTGAATCATGAGATTCCAAACAATTCCCAATGGACCCCCTTTACAGACCGTTATGATGCATTTCCACAGTTATCAACATTATTAACATTTAGCAAAAATCTTCCATTTACACAATGTGAAAAGGGTCGAACTGACCTGTTCTGCCTCTCGATGTTCTGCAGCTCTCGGTGGTCTTTCTTCAGGTGTTTGGTGAGAGAGGTGAAATATTCTCTCAGCAGGTTTTGGAACGGCTGCTGTTTCTCCGCATTAATGATCTGACTGGGAGGGAAGGACGAGCTGAACTTCTCCACCGCGTTCTTGACCTTCCGCGGCACCAGCCCGGCGATATCGTCTCCGCAGTGCTTGCAGAAGCTGATGATGACGGAAACGTGAGTGTGCGTCTCTCGGTCGGCGCCGATGATGTTCTTCAGCTGCTCGTAGATGAGCGACAGCCCTTCTTTATCCGTGAACAGACCCACGATGGTGAGCTCGGCGATGAAGCGCAGGTCGGTTCGTAGTTTGCTCACGTTTGGCGTCTTCTCCTCCTTCCTGGCCTCGAAGTGTCTCTTCCAGGCGGCGAGGAGATGCGGTGCGAAATCGGTGTAGCGCTGGTGGAAGAGGGAGCAGAGATGCACGGCGCAGCCCACGTCCGAGATCTTCAGCTTGGCCTCCACCATGGAGCTCACGGCTTCGCCGATGTACTTGCTGAGGTTGAGCGAGTCGAAGTCCTGCGACAGCGAGCCACGCTGCTGCTCCGTGAGCGTGCGGAGCTTCTTGACGAACGCCGTGTTCTTCTTCAGGCTGGAGTCCAGGCGGCTGAAGAAGGCCTCCTCGGGACGCGTCTCCGGCGCGTGCTGGTTCTTCACGCGCAGCTCCTTTCTGCCGTGGTGTCGCTCCCACGCCTCCTGCTGGAGCTGTTCCGCCTCCTCTTTCTCCCTGATGAGACACGAACAACAAACTGTGATTACAAAGCATCAGTGTTATTTCAGTACCAATGATCACTAGTGGTCGACCGATATTGGCTTTTTGACAGCCGATGCCGATATCTTGGAAAGCAGGGTGGCCAATGGCAAATCTAATTTAATTTTATTTCATTTAATATTCAAGACATTTGAAATCATTTGAAAATGGACTAAAAAATAAATGTGTAAAATAAACATACTTATACTTTAAATGACAAAGTATTTTTCACAAATAAACAAATATTTAATAAAAATATAATTAAAAAGGAAGTAAGCACTGTAGCCAACAGGGCACTCAGTATTCTGGGAGGTTTATGTGCATTGGGAATCACATTTTTTCAAATAAAGCCAAGGTAACACTCATTTTACATACATGCCGATATCTTGGAAAGCAGGGTGGCCGATATAAAGCCGATATCATTTTATTTAACATTTAAGAAATTTGAAAATTTATTAAAAAAAGTTTGTGTGCATTAGGAATCACATTTTTTCAAATAAAGCCAAGGTAACACTTGTTTTACATACAGCACACAGTGGAAATGACATGAATATGGCAGTGGGCAAAAGCATGAAGCGCAGCATAATTTGAAATCACGAGTTTAAAGTTTGTCGATCGCGCTTCTCAATGAAGCTGAACTCTCCTCCTGACCGCATTCAATTCTCACGGACCGACCGTCACGCAGAGAACACGCGATCATGCAGGATACACATGCACACTTCACAAGATCTCACAACTGGATTCGTTTGCAAGGTTTTTGAAATTAGATGTTCATTAGTCATTCATAGATTTGTTTAAATGACATAAATGCGTATTTGCTGAATGCTGAAGGCAAACGAGAAAGTATTATAATGTTTGCCTTTCTATTACTAACAACATATAAGCAATCGTTATAATACTTTTTTGTATACATTTTAATTCCTTTGTTTAACAGTTCTATCTGATTATTAGATAGACTTGTCCGTGGACAGAACTGTTAACGACGACGGCGAACAAGAGGGAGAATGTGAGCTCTGTGTGTTCAGGCGCTGCCGTAAACTTGCCGAAAAACTTATTGGCCGATGCCGATATTTGCAAAAATGCCAAATATCGGCCGATATATCGGTCGACCACTAATGATACTATTATATCTTTTATCAATAATATAAATTATTTTTATTTATCTGCTTTTATTTTAATTTTTGTTGAAGTTTTAAAATTGTGTTTTTGTCATTTTTATCAGTTTTTGTTTTATCAACATATCTACTTAGTTTTAACATGCACACTTCACAAGATCTCACAACTGGATTCGTTTGCAAGGTTTTTGAAATTAGATGTTCATTAGTCATTCATAGATTTGTTTAAATGACATAAATGCGTATTTGCTGAATGCTGAAGGCAAACGAGAAAGTATTATAATGTTTGCCTTTCTATTACTAACAACATATAAGCAATCGTTATAATACTTTTTTGTATACATTTTAATTCCTTTGTTTAACAGTTCTATCTGATTATTAGATAGACTTGTCCGTGGACAGAACTGTTAACGACGACGGCGAACAAGAGGGAGAATGTGAGCTCTGTGTGTTCAGGCGCTGCCGTAAACTTGCCGAAAAACTTATTGGCCGATGCCGATATTTGCAAAAATGCCAAATATCGGCCGATATATCGGTCGACCACTAATGATACTATTATATCTTTTATCAATAATATAAATTATTTTTATTTATCTGCTTTTATTTTAATTTTTGTTGAAGTTTTAAAATTGTGTTTTTGTCATTTTTATCAGTTTTTGTTTTATCAACATATCTACTTAGTTTTAATATTTTCCTATTTCATATTTTAGTTTTTGTTATTTTAGTACATCACAGAAAATGTACATTTTTTTTTCTTTGGAACTAGATGAATTTGACGTTTTTAAATATTTAATTTTATTTCATTTCAGTTAATATATATTTTATTTCAAGTAATAAAATATGTTTTATATGGCTTTGGTTTTAGTTAACGATAACAAAGCAAAACCGCACATTTTGATGAAATTAGTTATATTTGTATATTTGTATATTTATTGTAATTTTGTTAAAGTGTTAGTATTTTTTTGCTTTTGTCATTTTTATTAGGTTTTTTTAATATGTTAATATGCCTAATTAATTAATACATTTTTAAAATATTTATATATATTTTTATTTCTGCGTTATTTCAAAATTTTGTAAGAGTTTTAGTTAACTATACAAACACTGGTGCAAATTAATAAATAGCTGATATGAAAAATTTAATTACATTAAAATAAATAGATTTTTTTAAATTAAATTAAAATGAGCCTGACCCTTTGACTAGAACAAGTTTCTGCGTGGACCAGACTTGATGCTGATGCTCAAAATTCTGGCTACGCAAGACTACTCTCCCCATTTCTCCTTGATTATGCAGAAGCCAGCAAGTGCATGGCGAAGAGTTGATTGAGTGCTTCAATTCTTCACTCACTGCCTCCTTCCACGCCTCACAGCTGTGCAGTTATGCCGTGACTTTTCACGCTCATTCTGCATTCATTCTTGTTTTCTGTGTGCGTGTGTGTGTGTGTGTGTGTGTGTGAGAGAGAGAGAGTGCATGATCTTTGTGTTGGTGTGTGTGTGTGGGTGCACTGTCTCTGGGTGACCCTGGTAATGGGTTTCTAATTACTTTGGGTTGTTGCTAAATTGCAGCTGCTCATTTGTATTGGTCCATTTTTGCAGGGAAGAGATTGGACAAGGGCATTAGGGGGCTTGGGAAGACAGAGTGATGGCGGTGCAGGAGAGAGTGAGAAAAAGACACTGAGAGAGAGAAGCAAGATGAATGAGGTGGATGAACCTTTCTCATCTAACAGGAGAACGGGCCGAGACATTAGTGCATTGTTGTAGTGAGTTTTCTGCAAGTGTATTGATTTTTTTTAATGGACTGCCAACTAATGGTATAGATCATTATGTTCGAGGTGCCAAAAGTTTTAAGGGTGAAAGTTAGCTGGAGAGAACACTTGGTAATTAAAGGTCAAGAAGGAATTTGAGTGTAATGGTGTAGGAGGAAAGAAACTGATTGACGTGAGGTTATGTGGACTACCCACACGAACCCATTGCTCTCTCTCCTGGGGGGGATTTCATTCCTCTGTGGGTTTGGTCTTGTGACCTTTTTCCTTTGTATAGAGTTGCATCAGATTATGGAGTGCTGTTTACTGTCAACGTGATTTTAGATGTTCGGATTTGTTGTGGTATTGATGTGTAAAGCTTCTGTCCTTTCTGATTTGGCTCTGAATGGAGAAGATAAAAAACAACCGCTCCTAGGGGGCCCTTGAGAGCCCTCTATGTGATGACAGAGACTTGATCCGTGCCAGCATCCCCTTCCAGGTGTGTTTCCTTAGCAGCAGGTAACCATAGGCTGATTGGCTCAAGCGCTTTGTCAACAGCGGTGTGTAATGATGCTGTTTAAACAGGCTGCTTGGACCCGACACCTGCACACACTTATGACCAGAGATAAGATGGTGAGCGACAGTGCTTCCGTTAATCTGCACAGGGGCTCAACTGTGCTCTTCTGATGTTCTTCCTCCACAGACTGGGAAAATATTCAGCACTGAAATCAGACCCAAACATTTGTGGAGAGGGAGTCTTTGCATGGCAGGGGAAGCTGCCACGAAAACCTGCCTCAACTGAAGGCAGCTGCCACAAAACCGGCCACCCGCGGAGGCAGCTGCCAATCTGGTAGATGCGTGTGAACTAACCGACAGCGCAACCCTGGTCTCCTATTCTTTGGCACCTTTAAATAACTCTGTCTTTCTAACCTTATGTTTTATTCCTCTCTTTTAATCCATAATGGTGCGTGCAGCACCTAATCATCGTGCCTGCCACTCGACCCGTCACAACTAGAGGCAGCTGCCACTTGGCCCTGTCACCACTAAAGTTGTGGCAGGTGAGACGCTTCGGTGCTGCGCTCTCCATTATGGATTAAAATAGAGGAATAAAACCTAAGGTAAGATGGGAAATAGGCAAATAAGTAGAATTGCACGGTCTGTTTGCTTTACTTGCATCAATCGGAGTGTGAACAGTGAGCGATATTGAGGCAGGCATGACTCTTAAGTTGTGGCAGGCACAACGCTTCGGTCATGCATGCTCCATTATGGATTAAAAGAGAATAAAATATAAATTACAGTGGCAAAAATGTAAACGCGTGTAAACAGTGAGAGATGTTGTGGCAGGCATGATGCTTAAGTGCTGCATGCTCCATTATAGAGTAAAAGAGATTAATAAAATATAAAAAGTCAGAGTCAAAAAGTCAGAACTCTTAAGGCAGGTGAAAAACGTTTGGTTAATGGTGAATATTGACCGATTGTGTGTATCGTTTGGCTCCCGCTGGTAGCAGGGCATAGTCACTGCATTTGGGGTAGAAATAACAGAATTTTTGAATAGAAGGAGACCATGGGTTGCATCGGTTAGTTCACGCATCTGTCGGATTGGCAGCTGCCTCTGTGGGTGGCTGGTTTTGTGGCAACTTGCAATGTTTCTATTAAATTGTTATCATGTTAAATACAAATTCAGTCATATAAAAATATATTTTATGAAATGACATCCATATGCTACTTGACTAAAATATATATAATGTGTAGTTAATAGATTACAGTAACATTAGGCTGCTATTAGCATACCCTGGAGTTGGTTCACTTTCTGTCTATGAAACTAAGTAAATAATTAAATAAATTAGCATGATAATATCGTGTATCGATGATCTCACAGGCTGATGATATGATTATGGAACACTACTTTGTATGTCCATACGTCTTTCTGTCTGTCCGTTTGTTGTTCTATCTATCTGTCATCTTTCGAGCTATTGTTCTGTCATTTTTTTTCTTGCTATTGTTTTATCGTTCTGTCATTCTTTCTAGCTATTGTTCTATCTATCTGTCATTCTTTCTAGCTGTAGATTCTGTATGTATGGATAATATCTCTAGATATTGTTTTAATATGAACACTTCTATTGATGTCAAATAAATAGAGATATTATTATAAAAATGATTATTTATACATTAAATTTGTAACTGTTTATAAGAATAATTTAACATCTATATATACTCCTTAAATATTTAATTATAATACATTTTCTTATTTATTTTTTATTTCAAATGATTTGTTCCATTTTCTATTCTTAACTTTATAATATATAAAATATCAGTAATGTGTTCAATCAGTATATGACATTAAAATTAAAATGTTTCTGTTATTATTAATAGAGTAATTATATATTTAATATATTTTATCTATATTATTATTGTAGTATTATCAATATAGTTTATTAATATTATTATTTATAGTTTATATAGTAAATGTGTAGCCATTTGCAGTTGTTAACTTTTATTTATTTATAAAAAAATAAAAAATAAATTAAGATACTTAATTATTTGTATCATTTTCTACTAAACCTTTACACGGGGTTAGAGAGAAAGCTGAATATATCAGTCATGTTTTCAATCATATTATGTTAAAATTAAAAAGTGTGTGTATACACATAATATGATAAACTTACATATAGAAATGGGTCATCAAAAATTAGAGGAGATATTGTTGAGGGAATATTGTCACACCTCAGACTTTGACTTTCTTTTGGCTTGGATACTCAAGTGCCACCATATGTTGATTTCTTTAAATTGTGGTATGATCCTATTCAGTAGCACTGGCAGATATTAAACATTGTGGAAGAACACACACACAGTCAATCACATGTTAACACGGTGTCACTCAGGGGCTCAGTCTGTGTTGTATGACTGACTGGGATTGCTCCACTCACACATCATTTCTGCATATGCTGCTGCCTAGCTTTGGCAATTAAAATGGAATAGAGAATCAGACTGAATATATTAACATGGCTCCCCCACCTCATGCCTGAGCAGCTCCCATCACCATTCTCATGCTGCTTGCTGTAATCTCCTCTGTTCTGCTGTCCTCCTTTTTCTCTCTGCTTTCTTGTTTTGTGTGTCTAACGCTCCCCGTCTTCATTGTTTGTGTCTCTCTTCAGCACTCACTCACTCTTTCTCATCTGTCTGACTGTAGGCTGCTGTAAATGCTGTGCTGTCTGGTGATTTGAAGAGTACACGATAGCAATTAGGGGGTAGCAAGTGTGTGGTGTTGGTGTTTTTTGCCTATAAATGTGAATTTTTTTTTCAGAAGGTATTGACCAGCACTGTGTTTCATTCATGTGGTACATGTTCCTGAATCAACATCCTTTGTTGATCCTCAAGCAACAGACCTAACAAATAAGCATTGCTGAGTAATATAAAAAAAAGTGAAATAAATAGCAATTAATGATTCAACCCCTTTTCTGAAGTGTTTTTTTTATTGCAGTTTAGTGCCATGTTGAAAGTAATAATATCAGTATATAATGTAATATTTGTAAATATCACATCATCCTTATATCATATATATGATAGTTATATCATAATTATTCAACCCCTATTCAGCACTTCTGTTTAAGTTACTTATTTGTAATGTATACACAACTGTGTATATATAAAAGCACACATACTGTATGTATGTATGGTATGTGTGTTGATTCAGCTGCCACTTGTTTTTGATTAAATCACATTAAGCTTATTTCTGATTATCGAAGGTGCATACATTGACACTTCTATGGCAAAAGACACAGAACAACCACTCTTCAACTTTCTTTAAAAAAAACAGTTCAGATTGCCATACAGTTGAAGATTGAAGATGCTGATGACACACTTTTAAGAAATGGTTGATTTATCAGGCACAGTCTATTGTATTATCCCACATAATGCACCGTTGCCTGGAATTTAAATGCATGCCAGGAAAAAAAGAGTCACAGACAGATGAGTCATTGCTTAAAATGCCACCATTAGTGCATTCTCATCTCATTCTGATGCTTTTAAAATGGGTTAGTTATGAAACAAATATGAAATTCTCTTCTGGATCTATGGCAGATCAGGATATTGTATATTTTGGGAAGTTTGGTAGGCAATGCATGTTTGCTGAATCAGAGCCTGTTCATATAATAGTGCAGTAATCCTTTTAAGTTATTGTTTCACATTATTACGGAAGGCATTGTAGCTTTCCAGGCATGGATTGCTTGGAGTAAGTATTGCTATGGGAGCAGTGTAGATGCATATAATCAGGAGAAAATTGAGCGAGAGAGGTAAGGGAGCGTGGAAGTGAACATTGTGCCCTTGAGACTGGGTCAGTGGCCCCTTATAGCTGTGATTTTTATGAGTACATTGAATCCCAGAATCTGTTTTCACTGCTGCAGATTATTCTTCCTGTCTAGCTCTGAAAAGCCAAACTGCTAAATAGATTATACATTGATTATACACTCTTGAGACAACATTGTGAATAAACAACTTTTATGAGCTGTTTTTTTTAATGAAAATTGCAAGTTCCTAAATTGTCTCCTCTTATTTTTTTTGTGCAATTGCAATAATTTTGCAGGAATATTGTGTATTATAAATGATTTATACTTACACATCCTACTTGCACATCAAAAAATCGTTAATGTCCCCTCCACATTGCTACAAAATCTCTGCTTTAATCCATGTTTCACTTGGATATGTCACAATAGTGAATCCACTTAAGTGCACTTCACAAGATCTCACAACTGGATTCGTTTGCAAGGTTTTTGAAATTAGATGTTCATTAGTCATTCATAGATTTGTTTAAATGACATAAATGCGTATTTGCTGAATGCTGAAGGCAAACGAGAAAGTATTATAATGTTTGCCTTTCTATTACTAACAACATATAAGCAATCGTTATAATACTTTTTTGTATACATTTTAATTCCTTTGTTTAACAGTTCTATCTGATTATTAGATAGACTTGTCCGTGGACAGAACTGTTAACGACGACGGCGAACAAGAGGGAGAATGTGAGCTCTGTGTGTTCAGGCGCTGCCGTAAACTTGCCGAAAAACTTATTGGCCGATGCCGATATTTGCAAAAATGCCAAATATCGGCCGATATATCGGTCGACCACTAATGATACTATTATATCTTTTATCAATAATATAAATTATTTTTATTTATCTGCTTTTATTTTAATTTTTGTTGAAGTTTTAAAATTGTGTTTTTGTCATTTTTATCAGTTTTTGTTTTATCAACATATCTACTTAGTTTTAATATTTTCCTATTTCATATTTTAGTTTTTGTTATTTTAGTACATCACAGAAAATGTACATTTTTTTTTCTTTGGAACTAGATGAATTTGACGTTTTTAAATATTTAATTTTATTTCATTTCAGTTAATATATATTTTATTTCAAGTAATAAAATATGTTTTATATGGCTTTGGTTTTAGTTAACGATAACAAAGCAAAACCGCACATTTTGATGAAATTAGTTTTATTTGTATATTTTCAGTTTTATTGTAATTTTGTTAAAGTGTTAGTATTTTTTTGCTTTTGTCATTTTTATTAGGTTTTTTTAATATGCCTATATAGCATTTATTACTTTTTATTTCAGTTTTAGGTTTAGTTATTTCACTACAAGTTAAATTAAATGAAAATGAGAAATTAAACTACATTTTTTATTTTATTTCAATTAAAGTATTAGTTATTTTTTTTATGGTTTTAAAAAATGTAAATAAAAAATACACAAATATATAAATATAACAAAAATAAAATATAATAGGAGCTTTAATCAGAATGTTTCATTGGAAAACTTGGTTTCTTGTTGCAACAATCGAGGTTTTGTGTAATTTTCATATTTTTATGTTGGTAAATATGTGAATATAATTTTAAATAAATATGACCTTTAAATAAATATCAATGTTCCTTTTGTGTGCCTTTAGTAAAAAGCAAAAATAAATGTACTTTGAAACAATAGCTGCTTTGTCTTTCTTATTGGGGGTAAAAAAAAAAAAGCTATGATATATATCAAAACATTTTGGAAAAAATATAGAGAAATGTGTGCTATATTGCCGAGTCTTCTTACTTGATCTGTGCAGCCTCTTCCTCTTTCTGTCGTTTGGCTTCCTCCTCCAGAAGCTTCTTCTCCTGCTCCTCCTGCTGTCTCTTCTCCTCCTCCTCTTTCTTCTTCTGCTCCTCCTCTGCCCTCTGCTTCTCCTCCTCTTTCTTCTTCCGCTCCTTCTCCTCCCTCTTCCTCTTGTCCTCCTCAGCCCGTCTCTTCTTATCTTCCGCCGTCTTGCCTCCGTCCTTCTTCGCGCTCATCTTGGTCTCGTCTTTGCTCTTGTCGCGGGACGCGGCGGCCTGTCTGTCTGCGTCTCTGTCCTTGTTGCTGAAGGAGCCCATCTCTCTCTCCTCCATGTTGACGGACTTCTTACGTTCAGCAGGCATACTGCTACTGCAAAACATTACAGAACAATAATAGTACAGATGAAACCGTATCTGATAATAATTGCAAACATAGAAAGTCAAGGGATGTGTTTGGGATACTGCACTGTATAACGTTTTTTAAAACTATTTTGCATTTTTAATCAAAATTTGCTTTGAAAAATATAATGTATACGACAATATTTTAAATTTTGCATATGGCACATGGTTAAAAGAATTATTTAGCATGGATTTAAAAATTATTTGTATTGAAACATATTACACTGTATATAGCATACTGTTTTTTCAAATATTTTGCATTTTTAAATAAAATTTTGCATTATAAATTATTATACTGTATATGGCATTTTTTGTTTAATATTGCACTTTTAATTCAATGATGAGTTTTTTAAATTGCTTTTTTAAATAAAATTTTACACATGGCATCTAATTTTTTTTTAAATTGCACTGAAAAATGATACTGTATGCAGCATACTTTATTATTATTATTTTGCACATGGCTTTGTTTTAAAAAATAAATTGTTAAATTTTTTTTATATTTTGTTAAGCACTTTTTGAAGCAATATTTTGCATGGAAAAATATTATACTGTATACAAATTGTTTTAATATTTTGCACTTGTAATCAAATTTTGCATATGACATGCTGTTTAAAAAATATTTTGCATTTTTAACAAATTTTGCACTGAAAAATAGTATACTGTATATGTAAGAGCATACTGTTTATATACATATATAAATAAAGCAGTCAAATTTTAATAAAATGTTGCATTGCATTGAACAATGTGTACCAATGAATACTGTACCAATATATATACTGTATACAGTGTACTTTTTAATAAGTTTTGTACTTCTAATCTAATTTTGCATTGAAAGCTATTATTAGATCAAATTTATTTAGTTATTATATAATGCCAGTCACAGGATAATCTGTCCTGCTACTACTGCATATTTTATCCCAGTCTGCTCTGGTTGTATATTGCACATTTTGGCCAAGCAGTGTTTATTTGATTTGTTTATTTCATACACACAGAAAATCTGCATATAATGCAGAATAGGGGTGTGCGATATTGACAAAAAATTATATCTCGATATTTTCTGGGATTTTATCGATAACGATAATTAGACGATATTTTGCTGAGTGTGTTAATGTGCTGGTATCTTAAGGACGGCCGAAGACAGCTGACTCCTGATGTTTTTAATATTCTTCATATTCTGTGTGGTGGTCAGTTCATACTGATAGAAATGAATCTTTTCCAATAAGTTTAAACTGATTTTTGCATTTTATGGGCATTTTTACCTTCATAAAGCCATTTTTTCTAAAAGTGTCCATTATCTTTTGAGTCAAATTCTTACATTTAATCAGGGAATTAGAATAATAAGACATTCGGGCTATTACCGAGCAAATTAAATCAACACAGAAGCTGCATCTGACGTGGCATTTAGACGTGTTTACACACGTATTTTGTTTAATGCAAGACATGAATGCATTTAACCTGCAATTACAAATGCATAAATAATGTTTTGATATATTAAACATAAAACGTTGAATACTGATATTTGAAATGATTTAAAACATGAAAAAAATCGCTGCGCATCTCCATTCAAACACAGCGGTGTTTCGTTTATGAATGAACGTTTTTTTTTTTAAACGAATCTAGTGAGTCAGTGATTCATGACTCACTAGACTCACATTCATTCCTGAATGAATCAGCCGTTCGAATGAATCAATTGAATGAATGAATCAGTGATACAAATCAGTGACTTACCGCCACCTGCTGGCAGTTTGTTTCATTATAAAAGTATCGTTTCAGTTATTTAAATCATTTGATATTTCTATATTTAAAACATTAATATCATCATGAATTTATGGATTTAATTGCACTTCTGAGCCTCATTAAATGTCTGAAAGTACACCAAGCCACTTTTGTGTTCTTCTGTGCCACCTCGACAGATTAATTTTGTTAATACTGATTTAATTTGATTGGCAACTTATATTTCTTATTCTTCTTGTTCTGTCGTTTTAATTTACTACTACTTTAAATATCACCTGGTAATGGGAAGGCTACTTTTTGACAACATTTTGGATAATTGTTTAGAAGGTGCTCCTAAATGTTTTAGGTCACCTAAAAAGAAAAGTAAGCGTAGAGCCCTGCGATATTATCGCAGACGATATATCGTGCAGAAATACTGAGGTAGTCCAGGTCACGTGGTCTCAGCACATGCCACGCCTCCTCAAACACAGCTGTCAATCACGCTCAGGTGTGTCTGATTAATTAGTAAATCATTAACACTAGACTTTGCAGGACTACAGCTGATCAGATACACATGTGGGCTCAAATTCTGACACATCGAAACACTTTGTATGCCGTTATATGACCTAACAAAGTCTCTCAATTACCAAAGAAACTAATTAATAAGCAAATCGGCCACATTAACAATCAGCAACAGCTGTATTAACAAAAGACGACTAAATACACTAGATAAACATTGTATGTCACTCAATATAATCTCACTTTATAATAAACAGCTCATACATAACAGAAACTCGATCTTTTAATGAAGCGATCTCATGTTTTAACGGAATGTTTATGAATTAGCATTAGCCGTTAGCTGTTCGCGGCCGCTCATGTCGGATATCAACACGATTATGCCGCAAACAATACTGAGGTAGTCCAGGTCACGTGGTCTCAGCACATGCCACGCCTCCTCAAACACAGCTGTCAATCACGCTCAGGTGTGTCTGATTAATTAGTAAATCATTAACACTAGACTTTGCAGGTCTACAGCTGATCAGATACACCTGTGGGCTCAAATTCTGACACATTCCGGGTCGAAACACTTTGTATGCCGTTATATAACCTAACAAAGTCTCTGAATTACCAAAGAAACTAATTAATAAGCAAATCGGCCACATTAACAATCAGCAACAGCTGTATTAACAAAAGACGACTAAATACACCAGATAAACATCGTATGTCACTCAATATAATCTCACTTTATAATAAACAGCTCATACATAACAGAAACTCGATCTTTTAATGAAGCGATCTCATGTTTTAACGGAATGTTTATGAATTAGCATTAGCCGTTAGCTGTTCGCGGCCGCTCATGTCGGATATCAACACGATTATGCCGCAAACAGACGGAAATGACAGAAACAAAGAGATTTTCATTCAGTCACGTGAATACAGTCGTGTTTTGAAGTAAATGTCAGTCTTACCTCATGCGCTTCAGTTAATATTCATAAGTTTAGTCAGTAAACGACGGCGCTCGATAGTTTTCAATATTAGGACCCCCGAAGATGGCGTCCCCAAAGGTGCCTGATCAAAAACTATTATTCCGCTCAAAAATAGGCGAGGATTTAAAAAAAAAAGAGATAAAATTGCAAACCCAGATAAATACATATGACACGTATATAGACCCAACCCTAAATTAAGTACATATCACACATCCAATGTTGAGCTTAAACCCATTTAATTAATTAAAAGTTCATGTTAAATGTTAATTTCATGTTACTGTAACCCTTCAGACTGTGAAAACTAAATAATTGTTAAATTTCGTTTAATCCATCCATCCGTATCTATCTATCATGAATCACCTGAACGATATACGTTTGTTGTACTTATTTTGCAGAAATGTCCCTTAGAGTTACAAATAACAAATTGCTTATTTTTAAAAAAAACATACACTTGTACATAATCATTATTCAAACAACTACTTATTAAGGTCATTTTTACAATAGAACGTGTCATAAACCTGAGAAACATCTGATATGAAAAACGAACAATTTTAATAGTGACATTAAGCTTGCAATTACACACACTCACTCACACACACACACACACACACACACACACTCACTCTCCAATAACTATTTTAATGCCACAAAACTGATCTGTAGCTGTAATAATATCGTGGCCTGTAGATGGCGCTATTGAAGCATGACAAACTCATTTGGAGGGATTCCTGAGCCTGGCTCCACTGGGTTTTGATCATTTGTTCATCATCATCATCATCATCACCAGAGCCGTTTCTAGGCACAGGTGAGTTAGGCGGTCGGCTAGGGCGCCACCAGCTGAAGGGGCGCCAATGAGTGCATGTACTGGCACTTTTAGCAGGGTCGTGATAAAGAGTGGCACGGTCACCCTGAAATATGACTGCCGCCCCCACTGGATCCCCCAACATTATTGGGCTAGAGTACTGTCAATCTGACGA